ATGATCCCCTCTGCTGTACGCACTGCCAATCTTCTTTAACTTAGGCCGCATTTGTGTGGTCGGGAGCCACAAATGGCTGCGGCACCTATTTTGCTTCCAGATGTCGTTCTGACGGTTTGAGCATCATCCATTGAAATAAGGTTTACTTGAAAAGTCTATGACCTTATCAGAGAAGCTCAGGGGCCATGCGAAGGAGAGGATCAAGCAAATGGCACCCCGCAAGTATTGATGATGGTTTAATGGAAAACCAACTTTCATACGACTGGTATCACCTCTCAAGAATACGCATATTGTATGCCTTATGTGGGGCTGTGATATTGTGGGTTTATTCGTGCTGTTTCCTCGTGTGTGTTCTATAATACAAAAGAAAAAAAAGGATAGCGGAGTAAACTAGCAGGCGATGGATCGAGTGCGAGCTGCTTTTTTTTTTCGTCGTCATGGCTTGTCTCATATAACTGATCGTATGACCATGTCTGGTTGTTAGATGTTGATTTTGCATGGACTTAATTTTATTCTACGTTGCATTCGTTCAATACAGTGATTGGGAATGACTGTATTGTCTGCCTTTACCATCACTCTTCTTATAGGATGCGAATGCCAGTATGAATAAGAAGAGTGTAATATTACATTTCTTCACTTGTGGATGAGATGATCGAAGAGTTGAAAAGATTTATGGAGGCAAAGAGATCCATGTAATTATAATTATGTAAAAATCACTTGAGTTTGTTTTTAGACCACCATCGAGGCTACCGACCGATCGGGTGCTGATACCATTGCAAAGTATACTATAAAAAGAAAAGGAAATATAATGACATCATAGACATCATAATTCATGAATGCGGATTATGTCGAATGGGTAGGAATATGCCTTTTTCTTAAGATCCATATTCCTCTTCCACGCACCATTTTCGTAAAAGTTGATGTCAAGAACTACGCAGGTTATCATACTCAATAGAATGTCATTTCTTTTAATATAGTACGCATAATCAAGCGATTGGGTATAAGGGTTCACATTGTGTGATAAGATCAGAAGGTTCTTAACTTATTTTGCCTGCATTTGTTCCTTGTTTCGTGTGTTGACTTTCTTATCACTTTTAGTGTTCATTCAATACGCCTGTATGGCATAAGATTGATCAGTGTTCTAATTAGATGTAGTCAGATACGGCCGTATGAAGCGGTAGCTGAAATGAAAGCATTGTCCTCCATTCTCATTGTTGTATATTATTGGCGATTTGTCAGGTGATTTGCATAGTAAAACCGATCACAACGCTTCACTGCTAAATTATAGTGCTTATAATTTCTTTTACTACCCACTGGCTTATTGACGACCTTCTTATCCTATGGCCTCTTACTCTTTTTCGAATGAAAGCCTTTGGAACGATCAGGTAACTCGTTGCATATTCTACGGCAAATTATAATTCTGACTCTAGCAAAATTGGGTTAGAACATCAGAACTTCATTCAAAGTTCTGTTTTATCCATGCGATTCTTCCAGACCAACCATTGTGAATGCGGGATTACTACCAGGAATGCATGGATTTCGCACACTTGACGATTTAGCTTTAATTCAGCAAAGCACTCTGTCCGAAGTTCAACATATGAAGACGTGTTATAATCTGGGGAACGGCCGACGAACTATTGCTAACAACGATGGCTCCAATATCGCATACACCATATATTTCCGAGAATCCGAGGCAGACAACTTTCCGAGGAATCTGCTAATTGGCCGCCTGATTCCTGACGTAGAATGGCGAGGTCTCGTGGTGATAGTGAAGCATGACTATAGCAGCGAGCTTCCTATAAATTTCAAGGAGACCGACATATATGAGGCCAACGCTTTGTTATACCTGCGAGTGTTTATACTGCTTCGTCTTGATAATTTGTTGATCCCTCATCAGCTTTATCCGTGCTATCCGTTGCGATACCGAAATCATATTCTCTACTATCAACTGTCGTACAGAAACGGGTTCTTACCACGTTGGTATTGAAATGCCTAATTTGACTAGAAGGACTAGTTATGATCTTGATCGATCTAAGATCTATCGTTTATCTCCTGAACTGTGGCAGCGGATAATCGATAACTTAGAGACAGCATCTTTGTTGATGTTGAGGTGCATTTCGAGCTGCATCAGGTACATGGTGCATCGGTCGTTATATGGACACCTGCGAACATTGTTGCAGCTGTTTATACCTCACCAGCATCTTATTTCCTTTATGCAACATGTCAACGTGATGGAATCCGTTTTGGCAGGTATATTCGTAACTGCGATATTGATTTGGGAACGAGATTGGAACCCGACGTGCTTAGATTTGTTAGTGCCCTCCATATACATGTAGGTTAATTATATCAGTCTATCTGCACAACGTTTGACTCGATCTTAGGCCTTTCTGGATTGATTTCTTTTCGAGTCGCAACTTTAGACATTTGGGTAATCCAGTTATGGAGTTGGATAGATTCATAGGAGAAAATGATACGACCTATCAATGGGCCTTTGGCAAAAAATATGTGAGTAAATAATATGCCCTACCCCCTTCTTTTTTTTTCAATGAAGGGGAAAGGGATTGGTTATCATTTAAACTCAACTTCATATAGAATCCAATCTCTGTCGTTCCATCAAATGAAGAAAGTGCATTAGGACCATTGTTTCATGCCAGATCAACAATAACCATGAACTTCATGACCATGTCGACAGTGTATTCATTGTATCCGGCATATACACTTCGGCAAGAGGCGCTGGTTACTGGTTTCACCCCAGTTATCAACAAGACTGTATCGACCCACCTTCGGTCATATGGATTTTCTACCTATGTAGACGGTATCGGGCCCGATTCACGTTGCGATTTGGGATGTCCACGTCGAATGAGAAACTTACGTGGGCTCAGAGGCGTAATGGTTATTGATTTCCTAGAAAGAGACGAGGACATATCTAATTGACCGGTCAAGTCTATTGATGAAACTAAATTTACATATTGCTGGTGTCGAGGCAAGAGATGCTTGAATTGTATATGGTACAGTCGTTGATACCATATTGATGATATCTCTTGTATTTATTCCGAACCCCTGCCACAAAGTCATACCTATCTAGTATTGTTACTTGTTCATGCCGACCCTCTTGCATTCACCGAATTTCGAGCATTGATGTATTGATATGAAGTAAACCGTTCCTACATATGGTTTTGGATGGCTTTGAACCAGAAGGTTGATGTGCGTATCGATAACTGTCTTGAGCTATGTTTGAAGTAGCATTGTTACAGTCGAATATGACATGATGGGGTAAGATTGAGGGATTCCGATCACAACTTGCTATTTACATAGTTCAGTATAATTTTGGCATAAATTGACCATGCTCGTAGTCATAACTGTTGTGATTACAACCTATTATAATGCTTTATTCGTATTGGAATTAGCTTGATGGTTAGCAAGAATAGCAAAAACATTTCAATAATACTAACTTATTGTTTGTTAGGTTGAACAAATTTCGCTCATACATCACGTATGCCTATGTAACTTCAAAATTGATTACCATCTGCATATGGTGTTAGTTCCCAATGCTTATAGTTCAAATAAACCCCCCATCCTTACTAACTGAAAGAGAGCATGAGAAGCCGGATTATTATTAGCTCAAGCTTTGGATCATTAGTAGCGGTCAGAGTCGCTGATTTTTGAAGTCGATTAAATCACAAAATCAGGCATAAAATCGGAGTAAAAATCGATCCGAAAAGCGCGACTCTGACTGCTACTATTATTAGGTCAATCTCAACTATGAAACGCATGATAGATCCGTTAAATATATTTCGCTGAACATGTATCATATATCCAAAATACTTAAAGGACAATCATGCATAATGTAAATAAAAACCGGTCACAGTGGGTAAAAGGTTAGTACCTCATCGTCAGCATGATAGCCATGCTTGTCAGTGATTGACGTAAATCAGAACTAGGTGAATTACGAAAAGAGTAATGGACTACTATAGTAACGATCCAACTTTATGCTCTGTCGCATTGATCAAGTTTCCATCACAAGTAATGTCTTCAGCGATAGAGAGGTGAAGAAAACATAACTTTCAATGAGGTAAATAAGTAGATTGGCGCTAGGCTGTTTCAACCATAGGTAAAGATCGTAAGTTTCATGCCCACATATATAGAGGCAAACAAGAGGATAGCATTTCAGTTTCACGGTCATGCGTGCATATCTCCGTACCTAGTCAATATGATTGTATTATATAGGGAATAAGGGGCAACAGTGTGTGTCGATGCTTAGAGCAAAGCAGCAGAGTAGCGAACCTGTTATTATTTTTCTGCTTAGGGGTTTTTCACATCGATACATTTTCACGCCGTCCATTAGATCGAGGTCTCTCTGAAGTATATTCAACATTACCCGGATACATAAATATGCCTCTCACGCTATAAGCTTAGGAAAACCATACCCATGAGTATTGACGATGTAAGAACTAATAATAGTTGTAGCCTCTGTCTGATTGCAAATTCAACTACACCTATTCAAGCTCTGTATCGTAGTCACTATTCAAATAAAACTTAGAGGGTACTTCTTTTAATTTATTTATGCAATACAGCCCCAAAAGTGTCACCTCCGATATGAACATTCCTATGCCTGAACGTATGGGCGCGTGTATTACTGCCTTTGAGTCTGTAATTTTGAGAGAATGGCCATTGTCATTGAGGCGAAAGATACAAATAGTATGTAACGTTGTTATCGTACCCATAATAGTTATAAGAAAGCAAAGTGCAGCATTCAGACGAAATATCTGATGTTACAAAGCTGAAACAGACAGCAATGATACACGAGGTGGGAGACCACATTTTTGTGTGACAGAGAAATGCATTGAGAGCGCCATATTAAGAAGCGGGTAAAGGTTAAACAAGTTTTGAGGAACATAATCCAAAGCTGCTATAGATCCAACATAGTTAAAAAGATACAATATCGACATATCGAAAAGATGTAATACAAAGTGCATAAGTTGATCAATCATAATGTGGTATTACTGATCTCCATCTCGACTGGAATTTGCTTCTACAGTCATCTGGTCCAAAGAATCATTCGAACCATCCATAATTTCTTCATTCCTGTCCTCAGCAAGTTCGATTTCCTGTAAGTATTTTCTCCCATGCTTCACAGATAGGCGAGGCATAATATTTGCTAACACTCTACCTGCTGCGCTTTCCTATTGAAAACAATTAGCATATTTTCCATTCTATGTAAGACGATACGTACTTCAGTAAAAGTACCATCCAGTAGTGTAATAGATCGTAACATGGCTGTAATTTTTACTCTCCCTTTGGACAATGGGAATGCGACGAATCCAAACGTGACCTCAACAATATCGCCGACCTGAATCTTACTTGGTTTGATGTCGACATATCTGAATTAGTCGTAGTTAGTTAGAGTTCACATAACCATGACAACTGAATAATTACTTTAAGGAGCCATCCGAATCACTCGTATTTTCGTAATAATACACCGCATTTTCTTTAGCGTGGCAGTATTTCTGTCCTCCCATCTTGCTTAATAGTCCAAATGGATCGATGTTTTGGTCAAATTCTATCTCGTCTCTTTGTAAAACTTGGTCGCGCCTAGAAAAATATCGGTTCGACAGATGGATCGTAGGATAAGACTGATAGGTAGATGTGAACTTGACGTTATTCAGACGGGCATAACCAATATCCTGTGAGAACATTGCGACAATACATGCCATGGCTTTGATCGACTGCTTGAAAGTATTGGTGCCAAAGCCTGTGACTGCATCCGATTGTCTCAAATACGGCGCTTGATGTTCTCTATGAATGGTGTGAGATATACGAATGTACGATAAATCATATACTTGCTTGACTCTTTTCTTGAATGGCAGCAAATCCGTCAAGCAAACTATGCCTTGCATAACGAATTCACATTCAGCATCATCATCGTTGTGGAACAGACACCATTCTTGGGGTCTGTCAAGCTCATTCACATGAATATCTAGTGCGTCCTGGAGGTCATTCTATTCAACACGTTAGTGGACTGATGTGCTCATTTTTTAAGACATACTGTCACAATGTCGTGCATGAAGATTCTATCATTGTGGGCTTGTCTTTGTTGGACGGTATTTTCGAGGGCACGACCTTTACATATGTTAACTGTCCGAAGGTCTAATAAATGATAGATTATACATACTAGCTGCTGACATGTCGTAGAACCTGTCCATGCTGGATTTCGAGTGATTCGATAGGAAGAAAGCGAATGTTCGTTGGGATAGCGGTTTATGAGGCTGTGAAAAGTAGGTAAAAGCTGACCTTATAGCCATGTCATGATTTCCTCAATTGGCAAATTGCTTCAGAGTATACGAATTAACTAAAGTGGACAGACATGGACAATAGCTTTGGTATGTACAATGGGTAGTAACCAGAGACGGAAAAATAACATATGAGTAAAGATATAAGATAAAGAAAAAACTAAAAGCAAAACCAATTAAAAAATCAGATACGGACCGGAGGTAGTAATCTCCTTAATTCTGACTGAGACAAATGTTCACATATACATACGGAAGGAAAGAAGGGAGTTTGTTTTAGTAGTCGGGGATATGAACTGATCACTAACAATGTAGGGGTCCGAGTCAGAATACTAGTTCTTTGAACAATCGTATGGTAATTCAGATGTTTCGAAGGTGGCGGCCAGAAAGGGCTTACAAGCATCCTTGAAAGAACACGCATTCAATCCGGCAGTCCCCTTCAAGAGTCTAGGTTAGACTGAATAGCTTTCTGAAAATGTTTAGTGGTGTCCAGAACCGATCTAGATATGTGAACAATGCGGCTGATCGGTGTCATCAATCTGGTGCATTGAGTCCCTGCTGTTAATCAGACATTAATGTGATCAACCGATCATATTTTATCCTGTAATGTATTATAAATAGGTACGGATAACATTGTATTGCATCATCTGCTGATTGATTCGACAAGCATGTTTTCCGAATTTCCCGCTTTAAATCATTTAAGAAGAGTATCATTGTTCCTTTGTCCCTTTATCAAGTAACCAGGTTGTATACTCAATATATTTCTTCTGTCCTGAAAATGTCCATACTTCTTTTGGAGAATAAAAGAGGATTTGAATCAAATCATATATAGTATATAAGAATCGCTATAGATATCATAAATACGAGCACACGGAAGTATGGTGGCGGGATTCTATATAGATATAGCATACGATATGTACGTTATGCAATAGCATTTTCACTGAACTAGTTGATATCACTCTCAACCACATCGATTGCATATATCACAGCGATATGTGTATTAGAATCATGCATGAATTGAATTTATCCAACGGTAGGCTTGCACTTGTTGATTTTTTTCATTGTTTATTTCCTGATCATTTCGGTGTTGATTTGTGGCTGTTTGCATACAGCTTGACAGTAGCACATGTTTCGTGCGAAAGAAGAGAGTAATTTGGACTTGGTCATAAACCATATTTATGGACTTGAAGATGTATTTATGGCTTGTTTATGACTATTTAGGCGATCTTAGAGGCCTTTTTGTATGATGGAGGTTCCCCAAACACAGTTTATGATGAGTCCGAGCCTTCATTGTATCATCCACGAAAATGCCCCTGGCTGTCCAGCTGTATGCAAACAGCTGTAAATTGCCCCTTCTACATCTTTTCTATCTCCATTGGTAGACTCATATTCACTACATGCCCCTTTTCCATTTTCTGTGAAGGATCGTAGATACTGCCACTGCAGTAACGCCGTTATTAAAAATGCTTTTCGAATGTATGTATTGTACCTTGGGCTAGACCTAGAATAATATTTATGACCCTCGTAAATACGGCTTTAATTTTGGCATGTGATTACATGTACTCGGCCTATAACGTAGAACAATGCTGCTTGAAGTCATCAACACGTGCTTTGCTCGTATTGTTGAAGATAAACTGAGGAAATTTTACATGATAGGTTATGACTCAGCATATTTGATCGTTTGCTTAAAAGAGAGACTAGCACTAATCGTGCGATTAACTATCCAACGATTGAACAAACTTTGGCCATCATCATCACTGATATATTTCACTGTGCTCTATTATGCCTCCCAAGTAATTGTCTACACATTTCATTATTACCTTCATTGATATTAACGACCAGACCTCGAAAAACCAAAAAACTGAAAACACCTGCAACGGTGATTGACTCAGAGTACGTTGATCTTATTACGTTCGATCTTTGACCGATCTTAACTACGCCATTACTCAGATCCGAACTGATGGACCTACCTGAACACGTTGACTCTGCAACTCCTCAAAAACGGTGAGGAATAAATGCTGATTACTTTGCATAGAGTTTGTTCTTTTTTTTTTACTTTGTCTGATAGAGCTGTTCGACCCTCGACTGGAAGCGACACAGGTACTGCTATGGATAGGCCTTCTCCAAAGAAGAAAATTTGACAAATAACTGCTGGAACCGAGGATGAAACTACGATGTAAGCTTTTCGAAAAGTGTATATAAACATATACTTATTCATTGACATATCCTAAGACGTGTCAATAATACATCGATTGATTCAACACCCGATAAAAACGTTGTTGACTGTTCGCATGAGTGAATACTCATTCTTTATTATATTTCCGAATTTACAATGCTCCAGGTCTGTTAGAGACAAAGGGATCACAAGACCAATGGATGATCTAGGGGAACAACTTGTGTATGTTACAAATAATATCATATAAACTTACGTTGTAAAATTCAAAGTCAACTATACAGATCGTCCTCTGTCGAACATATGGTTACAGAAGGGACTCATGTTGACATTACAACCGACATAAACGGCACGACTATGACCAAAGATATGAATAATCAGTAAGTTATCGCTTGTTTGATCAAGGATAACTCTTAAATATGCCTGACATACAAGGAACGTATCTCCCACTGTTGATGGGGGTAAAATAGCAAGCAATGTCCACCTCAATGCTATTATTGATATATTGTATGTATTTTAGCTGCCAGTACATTAACATGACATCGAACTTGTAGCAGATCGGGAGATGAGATTGTCGGTAATATGGATAAGAAGGTGGCATCCAAGTTGGCATCTGTCGAAAGGTACGTGCAGAACTATTTCTGAAGTGCTTTAATGTTTATTATGATACAGACCATCTGATAAAAAGGACTCTTGTAATGACAACAACGTTAAGGTTATTTATAAGTAGGTGCATTTGTTGCTACTGTGTGCACTGACTGATTGATGGAATTTTGTAGGCCCGGGACCAAATTCTCTAACAAGAAAATTTTGAAAACAAATTTGTATGAAGATAACGGCGATCCAAATGAGTATGTACACTGAGCTGGTATAATATGGATATTGTCTTGAACGATATATGTAGCTTTGATAATGACTCAGTCAAAACCAAGAATGATAAACTGGCTACTCCGTCTGGGTACTGTCTCTTGTTCGTATACGCTGATGTGCTCGGTAACGGCGAGTGACAAAAGGCTAGCGAATGGATATGAACACCACAACACCAAAACCCTCTACTACTCTACACTAATCACCAATATTATTGAGTTCGGGTGTTTCGAGTACGATAGAAGCACTCTGCAGACTTCAACAAATCAGGGAAAGGTTGTTTAAAGACGTATATTTGGTACTAGTGAGCTACACAAGATGTAATACTCGTGCTAGCGAGGTTTTAAGACACGATTGGATGAATAGTGACTTGGGTTGAGCAACTGCGCTCGGTCTAACTCTGATACTTCGAAACTAGTGGCACTCTGGGCCAAATACTGGGTCTCACAAGCGGTCTACACTTGACTAGCGGCACCCTAGGCTCGACTAGTGGCACTCTTGGCCTAAGAACAAATACTTTAACTCCGAGAAAATACTTTAACTAACTTCGAAACACTCTGAGTCACTCCAAGACGGAATAGTAACTTTAAGACACTTCAATTTGTTCAATACTATAGGTGACTAAGCGACTAGTAGACACTTCGTCGAGGTTAAGCACAAAAGCCTTTAATTGGGGCACTAGAATATGGACTAGTAGGTCACAATCGCAGGGATGGCTTGCCTGCCCACGAGGCTGCCCCTTCTACTACTTATATACTACAGAGACAGGTACAGAATAAATATAAATAGATTCTTTAGGGGTAATATTGGTAAGGATATCTTGGCTAGTCACGAATTATGGTGAATAATCACGCAATAGTCGGCCTAGCCTGTTCTTTCTGTCGGATAGCAGGTCGAGGGACTCCGCTATTGGGTCGTTTCCGCACCCTTTGCCCAGTGGTGACACGGCTATACGAATAGTCGGGTAACCATGCCTGTAGCAACTGCTCGATCGTGATCAGGGTGCAGCCCGGCTATACTAGTGCCGATCGTATGAGATCTGTATCACACTAGCCGGATCTGGGCTAAGGGTTATGCCTTTACTGGTTCATTTCTAAGTCCTTTCAGAAGTGCTCGCGTGACTAGTCATCCTGACTTAGGCATTCATGCCAGGATCGGTCCACTAGCGACTGAATAGTCGAGATCTGTGTGGGTTCTTACTTCTTGTTTGGGCGCTAGCAGCTGTATTCTTTACTAGTGACCGTATTTTACTAAGTCATACTAGCTTTGGAGGTGCTAGTCCGGTCAGCTGGTAGGGCTGACCCACTGGTGGTATCATTCCTAAGTCCTGACCCGACTAGTAGCATGCTAACTTGACTATCAGTCCGAAGTCTCAACTATAGCCCTTGATATACGACTAGTATAGGATAGACCTGCAACCGTATTGTTATAAAATCGCAAAATCTAGGTGTGAACGCGTAGATGGCATATCAACGCCATGTGCAGTGCCTACTAAATAAAATTTGTTGTAGATCTGACAATGATTCATCTCCTCCTTCAAAGTGAAAGGTTGCTCGATGAAAAGAGTATGCAGAGTAAGCATTATGGCTCAGAACAGCTATTATCGATGAGTTGACAATCGGTTAGAATGGATGAACAGGCAATCAAGTCTCGACGGAAGAGAATAAAATGATATGACGGATCAGAGTAAGGAATATCAAATGTATACAACCGCCTGCAAATTCTCATTTTGTACACTGTTTATAGGAATGACAGTGAATCTGTATCGCGGAAGAAAAGATACAAGCTGAAGGAGAAGCTAGTAAGTTTACTTACACCCGTTTATGATGCGCTTATCACATCAATAAAGCAGAACGCGCTGGAATATACTGAGTAAGTGGATGATTGATTGATCATAATCATGATTTACATCTCGGATAGATCCGAAGTCGAGATTAGGTACACCGAATCTCGCAACAAGGGCAAATCTAAAAAGTTGGTGCCTAGGTACGTATAGTAGGCACGCATCTTGTCTGCAATGATAATAACGGGTTATTGCAGCGACAATAGTTCAGGAAGTGAAAGTGTACCGCCTGTGAAACGCAATAAAGGAAAAGCCAGAAAGAACACTGCAAAGAGGAAGTACATATTGCTATATATATGTATGTGTGTGTTCAGTGTCATCTTAACATCCGCTTCCCCTTGTAGTGTTTCAGAGGAAGATAATAGTTTGGATGGATTCATCGTGGATGACAAAGTGACAGAAAGTTCTTCTAGGTGAGCATGTGATAGAAATCATCTAGAGAAGAAAAAAATAAAATAAGCGTATTCTTCAGTTTTGAAGACTCTGATGAAATCAACGAAGATGAATCAGATGCCAACTCCGATGGTTATGTGACTGTCCAGAGTGAAGTTTCTTTCAATGGTATTATGGGACATGCGTATGACAATATTCCTATTGTCTAGTATGTTTATGGTATTCATGTGATACGCTATACTCATTATCATTCAGCTATCGCTTCATCGAACCCATAGGCAATAAGAACTACTACTATCACATCCAAGGGGCACTAACAGAATATTCGCAAGTTCTACCATGAGAGACTTGGAAGTATGTATCAAATCATTAACACATAGTATGTAGCTCACAACTCTGAAGGATCTTCAAGCGAAATTTGGGATTCGTTCAACATTATCCTTTCGTCAATCCAGGACGTGCTGATTGGAGGAAATACAAGAGAGGTCTGTGGTCTAATGGAGCCCAGGTCTGCATGCTATCAACTGGAATTATTGGTCACTGTAATTTGGTCATACCACATGACGATCAAGGTCATCTAGTAAAACAGGTGGGATTCGATGTCATAGGAGGCAAATTCGAGCTCTCCTCGGGATTTATTGGTGGAGTGTTGAATTTGGGCAGAACCTTTGCTACGCGTCTGATCAACTTTAACAGATGTATGGATGTTCCCTCGCATGTCATTTATACCACGAGGAAGAACTCGTATAACGGCAATTCACCCCAGAAGAGACGTAACCCATATGGAGCATCAGCCGCCTCGTGACATGGAGGTACCTCAACATCCAGAGCATCCGGAAGCGCTGTAAAATATATGGTCCCTAAAGAGGCTTTACTATTCAGTGATACTGGTAACATCATTTGATATTGCCATGAAGCAGCACTTACCATATATGATCATAGTGCCAATTTACGATGTTACTAAAGAAGATGGCTTCCTCTTGGACGCATATCATCTCGATCGATTGACCAGCTATCCTTTGTATAAAGGAGGTCGACGAGATCTTCCCAGCGGTTGCGTAGCTGCAGTGGGTTATACTGCATCAACATTCAAAGGCGGAACAGGGGGAACTGAAGATGTAGTCCTTCTTAACGTCCTCTTTGTGATCTTTCTCGCTAAAGGAATCACCGAAGAGGAGCAGCAAGAAGAATGATCACCTGAAAAGAGTGAGTACTTCAATTATGACTGAACCTTATCACTTTGCTGTTGATCTGATGTTTTTTTGGGTGTCTGTTTATTCTTCAGTTAGGCATTACACCAATTCTACAAGCAAATACAGATCAGACAGCAAGTATAACAGCAAGATTAAGAGTAAATCCAAGCGCAATTAGTTCCCAGCTCAGTTGGATCGATATTATTTCCACCCTATCTCTCCTCCCTTCTTTTATTTTTTGTGTGTTGGTATTCCATCTTCATTTGTGACGCTTCTTACAGATTCATTGATTGATTGTGTGATTAACTTTGTCACCCCCCCTTTTTTTTTTCTTAGTTTTATCCATACAACAGATTATGCCCGTCTTCCCCACCTTTCAACAGGTATTTCTTTCTTATTGACTACACTCGATAAGTGATGGCTTCAACATGTCATCTGCTTAGGTTTTATTGATAGCTGCATATGTCATGTATTCAGTACATACCGGTTCACATCTTTGATCTGTTCTTAATACATTGACTGAACAAAAAATGATACCTGATTTTCTTGCTCAATATTTCAGAGATAATACAGGAATGAGAAGCGATATCATGTACATAATAAATTTCGGTTAATATAAGGACAATATCGCACAGTTCGAAATAATTAAGAACTGGAAAGCCTTACATGGCCAAGGACTCAATATACAGTAGAGAGCATATAAGCGTATAAGTGATAGGGTTAGGAGAAGAGATGTGTGGACTTACGCTGAAGTCCAAGCTGGTCTTGAGACTATCTAATAACGGCTGGCCGTAAACAAGCTCAGCTTATAAGCCCCAGTCCTTTTATCTGAGATAAGCTGGAAGCAAGGAATGAATGGATGGCTTATCGGAGGATACATTAATCGTAGCTTGCAACAAATATATTCTTAAGCATATACGGATCGAGAAGTTCTATGTTCGATTCGAAATCAGCTGTTATTGTTCATAATTTGTAAATCGAGGTTTTTTGTATAACCATTTATTCATGAGAAACGATAGCACTAGTTGGTTGGTTGTTCATGACATATTAACACATAAATGATGGCCTTGTAATATCACAATAATTGTACCTTGCATATACGAATTCTGCAAGATCATAAAGACGCATACAAAATGAGTATCCGAGTCATGAAACCGAATTTCTTGGTCTTCTGATTAAATTTCGGCAGTTGTTCAGAGTTTGAATTCACAAACAATATCTCTCTGGGTACATTAGAGGCTTCCAAGTAATTAACCTCGTAGTCCTCTACTATGATCCAGCTGTTCAAAGCAATATTTCTGTCTATTCTTGCGATTGGGGGCTGTTATATCACATCATTAACCCATCAGAACGACGGGTTCACCAACACAACCCTACCCAGCGATCCAATTGTCTTGCTATGTCCAGGCATGTCTAACGTGATTACATGCATGCATTAACTAACTTCACAACTTAGAATGCCTAACCTTTGAACAACCTTTTGTACCCAATATAATGGAAATTAATGCCCTCAGTTTTTACACAAAAAGGTGCGTTACATCAGCAATAGTACGTCTTCATCTAATTGAATATTCATGTAGAGCAACAGATAATCCAAGGCTCTTGATGGTTGCCTCATTCACAGGCGATTCTGCACCATGTCATTCTCAGCTGGCTGTAAAATATGTTATTCCGCTTAGACGGTGTGTTAACTGTATTATACGGTTTGTCTATAACTGTATGTCGGGGGTGTCGAAAAATTATCATGCCAGAACATGCATATATGTGTATTTGAGCATTATAAGATATCTCAATGAATGGTTTACTCTTCGTGTCAAACCCGCTAAAACTGTACGGATCGTGATTTTATCTATATTAAGACATTTTGTATCCAAACAAAGCACATGTTTGTGTAAGCAGATACCAATAGCTTTGACAAATGGATGCGTGCATCTCTTTTCCCTTATAGCTAATGTTAGGGTAGTAAGATTAAGAAAGGAACGCGTTTGTGTAATTCCGTGGACATCATCCACATCCTACTCATCTGATGATCCGTCAATGAGTGATACCATCCAAAGTGAAGATAATCAAACTGCGTTCTCTCCTGTACAAACATTTAATGATACCGGAGGCTATAAGCTGAAGACCATAGTATTCGAGGATGTGGAATCCTATGTGGTTGCAGCTCCCGAAAGAGATATCAGGTTGAATAACTTTGAATACGTTACACATTCCAATGCTAATGACGTATCAATGTATGACACAACCACTCATATACATACCCTTATGCCGCTACATATACTATTGTCTCTCACCTCAGTAACCACAGGTAGATTGCTCGCAAGCATGCATGGCATAACGAATGTCAGACGCTCAAAACTATCCGAACTTAAGGCTAAAGCGAGCATCCACTCGTGTGTTAAATGCAACCTAATGTATACTGTATTCAGGATAATACCAAACAAGGCAGAACAGAGGGCTTCCAACAAAAAAGATAAAGCCAAGGCGAACAAAGATGCTATTAATAAAAGAAGACGAGACAGATATCGCAACTTGGCAGATGCCCAGATGCCGATTGTTGATACATGCTTCCCTCCACCTCCTCCCAGCGAGGAATTCATATGTCAGATAATAGGAAGATGTTGCCAAAAGATGAACGCATCGAACATTGAAGAAGATGGTTGTGCGGTATGCGGTCAGTTAGTACCTAAGAAAGAACTATCCAGTTTGTGTCATGTTAAGAACTTTCTGGATGTTTTGATTTCACCAGGTATAATGAAAAAAGAACGCAGATGAACATCGGACACCTCAACAGACGATTTAAACCCAGTAATAGACCGCACATGTACACATATTTGCAATGCGTGTCGAGCTGACATCAGAAAACACAAAGTGCCAAACAATGCCCTTGTTCGAGGTACGTGGGTAGGCGAAGTTCCCAAAGAACTGAGCGACCTTCGGTTTATGGAGTGCATGCTTGTTGCACGAGTGCAGCACACTTGTACGTTCGTACACATTTCAAACGGTATGAGAAAAATGAAGGCTAATGTAATCGCATTTGAAAACCCTACACCACTTATATACAAACACTTACCACCGCCGAGGAAAGATATGGACGAAGTTCTAGCTATTATGTTCACAGGCCCCAATAAACCAACAAAAGATGATTTCAAATGCGCGCCGGTTTTGGTACGGCGAAACAAAGTGATACAAGCTTTAGAATGGTTAAAATTAAATCATAGTGATTATTATGATATTGAAATATCACAGGACAATATGAATGAATATCCAGAAGACATGCCATTCGTAGGAGTGGAGTATAAGCCGTCACATACAAACAAGACTCCCGAAGGAATAAGTGTTCATGACAATGATGAGGAAGACGGTGTTGAAGATGGTGACTGTCCTTTTGTGGTCCATGGTTTGACAGGCAAGAAATTGGAATTGATGATGACATCTGAATTAAAGGGTATAGGAATGATGTATTTGAACAACAACGGGAAAATACTGGCCGTAGGACAAGAAGATATGCCGGAATCAATATGGAACAATGTTCAACTGTATCCCAAAATGTTTCCGTGGTTATTTCCATATGGAAGAGGCGGTATCGGATCTACTAGCATGTCAGATGCGAGACATAAATCGATGCTGATGATGTATCATGACAAGCGCTTTCAAAAAGATCCTACATTTTCTTTTGTCGCCTTTAGCCATTCTCAGATCAAAGCGTCAACTACAGGTACTTTTCTACTCGCTGAAAGATCCAAATTTGAGGAGGTTACCAATCGCATGCTAAATGTAGAACCTGCAGTCCTCACGTCTATGGCTAAGAGAATGGCCAAAGGAGAGAGAGTTAAACCTACCACGGACGCAGAGAAAGCATGTCTAAGAATCATTAACGACTTAGACAGTGTATCCGGGAAAGTACAAGGTTCAGCTACTACTAAAAAATATATGAACAATGAAATATGGTCTCTAATAGTGGCGAAAGGCTCACCCTCTTGGTATATAACATTATCCCCTCTAGATACAGCCCATCCTGTATGTATATACTACATATTGAACAACAAACGATTTGAACCAATCAACTTGCTGGACTCCAACGATTGCCAACGAGCAATCATAAATAATCCAGCAGGGGCAGCATGGTTTTTCGATTTCATGTGCAAACTTTTCATCGAAGAAGTGCTCGGATGTTCACCATTGAACAATCGTAGAGGCCTATATGGTGATACTAATGCCTATTATGGAATGGTGGAGCAGCAAGGCAGATTAGCTTTACATCTTCATATGTTAATATGGATAAGAGGCGTCCTTAGTCCTCAGGAAGTTCAAGATAACATACTGAACCCTGAATCGAACTTTCAAAAGAGAATAGTGCAATGGTTGGAAGGATGCCATATGGGTGAATTCTTCAACGGTAAGCAATCAGAGATTTATGAAAGAATGAAGAAAAACGAGACAATACCTGGTTATATTAATCCGACACAAACTTTACCTATAGGACCACCTAATGAATGTAAGGTTAAATCAGATCACGAGGATTGTTCCACATGTGATGACATTAGAATATGGAATACTAAATACAGAGAAATGGTAGATGATTTGATAATTAGATCTAATGTCCACGATTGCGAGAAATACCTAAATAAAGATGGTACATTTAGCAAGAAAAAAACCTATACAGGATGCAGAGAAAACAAATACAACAAATGTAAGGCTAGATTCCCTAGACCCACATTTACAGAAATGCAAATTGATACTGACACGGGAGCGATCCGACTAAAAAAGGAGGAAGCATGGATAAATATGTTTACATCAGCTCTGACCTATGTCATGCGTTGCAACACGGATGTCACTAGTTTGTCTTCCAGAACAGCAATCAAAGCAGTTGTGCTGTATATATCCAACTATATAACCAAGACGCCGTTGAAGACACATGTCATATTTGAAGTCATTAGAGAGATGTTTGACAAAAGTACTGAAATGCTCGCAAGCCCAATATCCAATCAGGAAAAGGCGTGAAGGCTGATAGGAAGAATAGTAAACTTGTTGGTAGTCAAGCTCGAGATGGGAGCGCCGATACTTGCAATGTATCTAATGGGCCAACCAGACCATTATACGGACCATAAATTCAAAAACCTATACTGGAAGAGCTACGTTATTGAAGCCAAGCAACCATGGCTTGATGATAACGAAAAAGAAGCAGGCCATAAGGTGACACTGATGCGTCACCACGGCCGAGTCATTGGTGTATCTCCCGTTATAGATTATATGTACAGACCGCTGGAGCTTGAGAACGTTAATGTATGTGATTGGGCTACTATCGCAAGGAGGATAAAAATCCCAAAATCAAAACAGAGACATAATAATACTGGCATAATTGATGAACAACAAGATACAACAGATGATAGGTGCAACGACAACAGAATGATTAGACCAAAAGGAGGACTATCATTTATAGATGGCCATCCACTCAAAGATACCCATTACCTGGTCGTAGACGACGCAGATGAATATACTATTCCAAACTTCATAGGAGAAACTATACCTCGCAAAGATAATGGTGATAGAGACGATTATTGCATGACGATGTTAACTCTGTTCAAACCATGGAGGATGGGACTAGATCTGAAACAACAAGGAGAAGGTTGGCATGACGCTTTCCAAAGGCATAAATTCACGGAAAAACAGTTAAGATTAATGAAAAATTTCAACCTGAAGTATGAATGCCTGGATGAACGTGATGATTACCATGCCCAGTTGAGAAGCTGGTCCTACCTTAGTACCTAGTTGGGATGAAGACAGTCATTTTTGAAACAGAGTTAGCCGCACCCGATTACTTGCCATCAACTAATAACGGGATAGATGACTTGCTGGAATGTGCAGACTTGTATTTCAAAGACAGGCAGAATGATTGATCCTGCTCAAGCATTCAAAATGGCTGATATCAAGAGAGTACTAGACTTGGCAGAATGGACGGAAGAACACCCGAACCCACTATCATCAGGACATAGAGCCTATAACGACATTGAAAGGAAGTGGCGAATGGAAGGCTATCGTTAAAAGAAAGCAGGCAAGAAATCATCGAAGATAGAATGAAAAACATACAAGACTCCGGAAAGACCAAAAAGGGCCGCCTGTAAGAAACTTAAAAGCACCAAAGTGAAAGTTGTGGACAAAAAATGGCTGGAGCTGACGTTTTCATAACAAACAGCATAAAGCGTTGCTGGATGAAACCGTGGAAGCTTACTCTTTAAACGAAGAACAGGAGCGTGCATTCAGAATCGTTGCGAATCATTCCACAAGTCCATACAACGATCAATTAAAAATGTACATTGCCGGTATGGGGGGTACGGGCAAGTCACAGGTGTTAAAAGCACTGGTTAAATTTTTCGAAATACGGAAGGAAGAACATCGGATAATTATAGTGGCACCTACTGGATCTGCAGCAGCCTTACTCGGCGGCTACACTTACCATTCAGTATTCGGTATCAACGACAGAAAGTCTGCAGTGAAAAACTTAGCTCAAGTACGAAGCAGATTGCAGGGAGTAGATTATGTATTTTTTGATGAAGTATCCATGTTGTCTACTCAAGATATGTACAAAATAAGTGCGCAATTGTGTAAAGCGAGCGGAATGGAAGACACGCCATTCGGTGGAATGAATATGATATTTGCTGGAGACTTCACTCAGCTTCCACCTATCATGGGTGAGGATTGGTCCTTATATGGACTGCAAAACAGTTTATATGGCCAAGAATCCATCAGGACAAAAAAGGGCAATAGGAAGATCTCTTTGGCATCAAGTGACAACCGTTGTTATACTCCGGCAGAATATGCGGCAGAAAACGCAGTCCAAAGAAGATGCAAAATTAAGGACAGCACTGGAAAACATGAGATATAAAGACTGCACTGACGAAGACATAATGTTCTTAAAATCCAGAGTCAACAACGCGAGGATCAATGGACCCAGGGTCAAGGACCCATCCTTCTGCAACGTGTCCATCATAACATGTAAGCCACTAACTCTATCGACTCAGATGTGTTAGGGTCGCTACTCGCACTTCGGTAGACGACGATCCAACAGATCAAAGGCAATGAAAGTCGATGGGACAAATAGTCACGAAGGACGGAGTTCAAGTTAGGTAGAATAAACCTTAGCCGAAGCTGGGGTTTAAGCCAGCTGAGGCTTTACTTAAATACACGTTGAGTAGACTAAAAATAGTGCCGCAGCACTTGTCCGATCAGAACCGCAGCACTGAGTAAGCATGAATGCATAAGGAAAAGGAAAGAAAAGAAAAAGAAATGAATAAACCGTAACATTACCCCCCCTTTAAGATTCGTTCGTCCCGAATGAATCCTGACTTTCCCCACTCTGTGCGGACTGGCTGTAGAAGGACCAGGTATCATCATCATCGTTGTCATTATCTTCGGAGTCGAAATCCCAGTTCTCGTGTACCCTTTGTAGGTTTTCGAGGTCTAGGTTGGAATCCTCATCGTTTTGTGTTTCTTTGACGATGGGTATTCCCTCTGCCTCCTCCGTGGTCACTTCCCACACCGCTTCTGATGATTGTGCGTGGGAGTGTCTCGGGTTTGTGCATTCGGAGGAGTAAACCGTTTCGATATCCGTGACGCATGGGGTATCCGGGTCGTGGTACGCCGTTCCAGCGTTTGGTGGTATTTTATCATCTCTCCCCACCGTTCGTCCATACGTGTTGACCTCCCACTGAATCCTTTGGAGGTGTGCTTCGTACTCGTTTACCAGTTCTTCCGCGTTGGCCATATCCGAACGTTTGACCCAGGAGTTCTCCTCCCGTGGGTATCCCTTCCATTTTACGAGATATTCCGTTATGGCACGGCGAGTTCGTCCTCGGCCTACGACCTTGTCCCGCTGCTCTACTATTTCCTCGATTTCGTATTCTTCTTCTTCGTCTATCAATTCTGGGGGTGGCCTCTCGGGACGTGGTTGATTGGGGAAGGCGGGAGCCACGTAAGGTGTCAGCAACGACTCGTTGAAGCGGTTGTGGATTTTCCATCGGACGGGTAATTTGAGCTCGTAAGCTGAGGCTCCCTTCTTGGCGATGATAGTGAAGGGTCCAACACGGCGATCTCCGAGTTTCTTGGTAGGGCGAGGGAGTTTTAGGTTGGTAGTGTCTAACCATACCTTGTCTCCCGGTTGGTATTCCGCCGCCTGACCCTTGTGCTTGTCATAAGCCTTCTTCATTGACTCGGCCGCCTTTTCCAGGGATGTCCTCGTTTCCTTCTGCGCCTTTTCGATTTCTGTCACCAATTTTGCCGCTGCTGGGACTACCGTCGGTTTTCGTGCTGCAGTAATAACCTGCCCGTCTCGTCCAAAGACTATCTTGTACGGGGAGTACCCGGTCGATGAGTGCTGGCGGTTATTGTGAGTGAAGGCCGCCAGGGGTAGCCATTCGCTCCAGTCACTCTGTCGATCGTTGACGAACATCTTCAGGTACTTTTCAATTTCCTGATTGACCCTTTCAGTTTGTCCGTCCGTCTGGGGGTGATATGCGGTAGAAGGGTTTCCTTCAACGTGAATGAGGGCGTAAAATTCCTTCATAAATTTGGAGACGAAAACCGAGCCGCGATCCGAAATGACTTTTTCAGGCATTACCCCGTAGGGCACATAAACATAATCCCTCAAGATCTTGGCGAACCCGAGAGAGGTGAGTTCTTCGGTGCAGGCGATGGGGATAATGGTTTTAGAGAAGCGGTCGACAATGACCAGGATGGAGTCATAGCCTTTCGAATTTGGTAGCTTGGTGATCATGTCTACTGAAATGTGGGTCCAAGGGCGGACCGGGATCTCGTTAGGATGTAACGGGGCTTTCTTTGGTCGACGGTCGGCCTTGGTTCTTTGGCAAACGTCACACCCCTTTACGTAGGTCTCCACATCTCGTCACATTCTGGGCCACCAGTAGTCCCGAAGGACTAACTCCTTGGTCTTTTCGATGCCTGGATGCCCGGCCGTGACGTGGTCGTGTTTGAGGGCTATGATCTGCCCTCGAAGGTCGCGGTCTATGGGTACATAAATTCGCCCATCATACCACAATAATTCTTGGTCGCGAGAGATGCCTTTTTCATGGTTAAGGGAGTCAGCGACTCCTCTGTCCCAACGTCGAGGTTCGTGGGTCGCTATCTTGATGCGCTCGTGCAAGTCCTCGGTCGTGGGCATGATGAGAGCCCTGAAATGTTCGGCTTTGAGCACCACGATGTCTTGATTGTCCTTTTTGCCCTGATCGTGGTCTGCCCTTCTAGACAACAGGTCGGCCTTCCGGTTCTGAGCCCCCGGCTTGTGGTGTAAGGAGAACTGGTACTCCGCCAGCTCGGTGACCCATCGGGCTTGTCGCCGATTGAGTTTCTGAGGCTTGCGGAAGTATTGGAGATTGGAGTGGTCCGTCCAAATCTCGAAGTCTTCCCTGGCTCCCATGAGGTATTGTCGCCATTCGTCGAGAGCAATCATGATGGCGAGTAGTTCCTTGTCGTAAATCTCATAGTTACGTTCCGTAACTGAGAGAGCTTTGGAGAGGAAAGCGACCGGTCGCCACTTCTCGTCTTGCCACTGAGAAAGTACTGCCCCCACCGCTCCTTCACTTGAGTCCGCTTCTACCTTGAACTTCCCTTGGTCGAGTGGAATGGCTAATACTACGTCCTCGCGAAATAGTTCCTTGAGCTTTTCGAAGGCCTGTTGTTGTGATGTCCCCCACTGCCACTCTTGTTTCCCAGTGAGCGCCGTAAGGGGCCTCACATGCTTGCTATAGTCGCGAATGAACCGGCGGTAGAAATTACAGAATCCAAGGAAGGATTGTAATTCTTGCTTGCGTCGAGGTACTGGCCAGTCGAGTAAGCCGGCAATCTTTACCGGGTCCATGCGAATCTTCCCTTCACTAACTATCACCCCTAGGTATTCGGTCTCTTCCACCTCGAACTCGCACTTCTCCGCCTTCAGGAATAATTTGTTTTCGCGGAGAATCTGGAGTACCCGGCGTACGATCCGCCGGTGCTCAGCCTTGGTCTTCGAGGCGATAAGGATATCGTCCAAATATACGGATACCTCCCCTGCTGCAATAAGGTCTTTGAAAATATCATTCATCATCCACTGGAATGTAGCGGGGGAGTTGGTGAGTCCGAAGAACATCACCAAAGGTTCATAGAGCCCGCGGTTGGTCTGAAAGGCCGCCTTCCACTCGTCTCCCTGCTTGATCCGAACGTTATTGTAACCCCAACGGACATCCAACTTGGTGAAGTACTTGGCCTTCTTCAACCTGTCCATCAACTCTCCGATAAGCGGTAACGGGTAGCGATTCTTGATCGTCATCTCGTTTAGTTTTCGGTAGTCCTGGACTGGACGTAGTCTGCCGTCCTTCTTTTTTACGAAAAAGAACGGTGAAGCCATGGGAGACTTCGAGGGTTGAATTCGGCCAGTAGACAAGTTCTCGTCAAGAAACTTGTCTAATTCCTCTTGTTCGGCATGGTTGAGGGGGTAGACCTTACAGTCCAAATTGGCGTTTGCGTTGGGGATCAGCTCGATAGCATGATCCCAGGGTTTTCAAGGAGGTAGCTCATCAAAGTTCTCTTTGTCGAAGATATCTTTAAATTCCCGGTATTCCTCGGGCACTACTTCCTCAAAGGACTTTGCAGTCTTTTTGGCGTTGGCTCGAGCCGCTAGCTCGTTAGCCTTAGTCCCCATGGCTCGTACGTGGAAGGCTTCCTCGAAATCAATCACTAGGATAGTATCCCCTTCCTCATACTCGTCCCAACGCGCCGAG